TTAAATAACCAAATAAAAACAGTCACTAGCTACAAAAACTGGAGCTACTGACTTAAACAGCCACTCACCTGTCCCTCGATGCAGCGGTGTGCTCACCGCAGCCGGGTCCACTGGCTGTCCTCTGTCCTCAGCGCTGGCTTCTTAAGTGTGGGCACCCAATGTGACAGTTTTCGTCACATGCGCAAGCACTGCTGGCTTTATGAATGCTCTTGCAGTCTTCTGGGACCTGTCATGTGTCCCAGAAGACTGTGGAGGTGGGGGGGGGGGGGAAGGCAGAGGAGAACGTCTGCTTCCGATCGCGGTAGAGAGGAAGTGGGAGCAGTACCTGTCCAAAATTGGGTAAGACAATGCCCATCCCGCTCCAAAGGTGCAAATCCTTAACAGGGAGCAGGTGGAGCTCCACTTTAACCACTTTCACCCCTTTCCTGTACAGACAGAGCTTTCTTTTGGTGGTATTTAAAGTGCTACTAAACCCACAACAGTAACAAAAGTCTGTATATGCAGTAAAACATGCTTTTTATACTCCCTGTGGAACATAAGGGGTTAATCCTCCACATCATGTAAAAAAGGATGTTTATCCTGTCTTCTCTGATCCTCCCCTTCTACTATCCCCAGTCCATCTGCTGATAGAACAGAGCCTTGGAGGTAAGCTGCACATGCTCAGTTTGGTGTGTATTGTTAGATTCTTTTTTTTTTCTTGGCAGGATGCATGTGATCAGCACAGGGCCAATCATCACTGTCCAGACAGAGGCTCAGGTGTCCTGCAGCCTCATTGGACAATCAGGGGAGAATGAAAACTCCCCCCTACAAGCTTTACCAGTGATCTGCTGGACACTGATAGAAGTCACAAGACTGCCCTGACTGCTGATGAGGAAAGGTATTTAGCTGTTTATATTTACCAAAGTAATTGCATTTCCATGTTCTGTGTATTGTGGGAGACCAGATATATAGTGAATGCAGGGTCCTGGGCTTAGTAACACTTTAATCACCACTTGTGTTTTTTTGTTTTTTTTTTTTTTCTATATAAACTAAAAAAAATCAAACATTTTGAAAAATTATTTTTCTTTGTTTTTGTTATACAATTTTGCAAATAATCTTTCTTCATAAATTAGGCCAAAATGTATTCTGCTAACTTTTTTTAGTAAAAATACCCAAAAACAGTGTACAATATTTTAATCTGTGTGAAAGTTATAGACTCTACAAACTATGATACATATATTTGAAATTTGATTAGTCCTGATGTATGGAACTGCCTATCTAATTTCTTGAGACCCTAAAATGCCAGAACAGTATAAATGCCCCCCAAATGACCCCTTTTTGGAAAGTAGAAAGTCCAATGTATCTAGTGAGAGACAAATACTGTAATTTTTTTGGAAAATTAAGACATTAAATAAAATTTGTTGTTTTTTTTTTTTTCACAATATAATTTTACTAAGCTTTTTTTCTCATACAACATAGGCATACTTGCAATTACACCCCAAAAAACATCCTGCGATGCCTCATGAGTATGGGGATACTACATGTGTAAGACATTTTCACAGCCTAGATTCAAAGAAGGACCCAATGTGATCCTCTGTGTTTGGATGACACACGTATCCCCGGCTCCCGGGTGCACGATCTGTGAGCCACACAGAAGCTGCCAATACAGGCTGACGTGCAGGTACGTTAACCTACATCGGTGCTGCTTCCCGTCCTTCATTTATAGGCTGTGCGTGGATGGGAAGTCGTTAAAGAATAATGGGACTTCCAAAATGGCATCCATTATTTCTTCATAGCAAAGACCATAATCTTTTAAGAGTCCAAAAACACCAAAACATTTGCAATTTATAATATCTATTTGTTTTGCCTTCACTTGTGTTCCAGTGTGTGTAATGAATGGACTATAATACACCTCCATGCACTCCAGTGCTCACACCCCAAATATACAGTAGGTATACTCACCAGATATGCTGACTCCTTAACCCTTTTGGCGCCGGTGCCTCCTGGTTCTTTAAGCGTTTCAGAAGCTGGGTGGGAATTTAGGGTCATGTGACCGCTGTGAGTCACTGTCACGGCGGTCACATGATCGGGAAAGGTTCTGATCGCAAGAGGAGATCGGGACCTTTCCGTGAGTATCGGAAATGTGTGCTGGGAGTGCGCTCTCAGCACATATGTTTTTCTTAATTGCACCAAATGTGTGGCCGCTCGGCGTCAAGGCCCAGATGTCGGGAGGCCGCACATTTGCATGCGGCCGGCGCTAAGTGGTTAAGTGATTGTCAAAAAAAGTATATACATCTTTTCTCTTTTTTTTTTTTTTTTTTTTTTTTTTAAGTAATTACATATCCTATGTTCTCATCTGTGTAGCAGCTAGGGGAAGAAACAACAGTATACTGAGCTTCCCACTGAAAGGCTGTGCAGGAAGAAGGGGATGTCTGATCATTGGCAGAGAGCATACTGAAGACACTGCACTCGCAATTGCTATAAAAACAAAGCAGCTTGCACATATAGGCAGACAAAAAAAAGATATGGTGAAAAGTTGCAGCGCTAATTAGAACATAAAGTCCCATTCACAAAAAATGACAATATAATAGATGACCTCAAACTCCATGTGGATTTCCCATATACAGAAATGAAGAGCCGTGCATAGGAAAGGTGCGCTTGGGGTGACGTTTGCGAGTAAATTGAGAAGCCAAAGAAGTATTATTATCCTCTATATAAGCCTCGAGCTGACCCCTCACCTTGACCTCTAGGTAAGTGAGCTCCTCCACCCACTGAAGTGGTGTACCGGTGTTTGCTCATGAAAACAGAACAGACTACTCCCAATTGATCCGGATACCCAAATAGCAACCAAACAAGTCATGCAATCAGATTTTTACTTTCAAGCCAGCCATAGATGGTTTGATTCTTGGCTGGTCCCTGCTGAACCATCTATGAGCATAGTGATTGTACCCAATTCAATAGTTGCATGACTTGGTTACAACCAGTCTGCTGGATTTTTCATACGATTATTGCCAGCGACTATAGCCACTAGCAATAATCACTGTGTTCTCCCGGCCGGGACAGCTTCCCCATACGCCCCCCTGCCAGGAGAACACAACAGCTCTGGAGGAGGGATTCCCCCATCAACACTGACTGTGTTGAAGAAATCGAGCGATTTTCTTTCCTGCAACCTGTGCAGGAAAGTAAATCACATTGTCTGTGGACGGCTTTAGGGCATTCTTTAGACAACATGGGAAACATTTTTTATTGAAAATTCATATGTGATCTAAATTCCCTACATGCAGATAATTTTAACACATTTTTTAATTAGGCTGAACTCTATGTTCATTGTATTACGCATGCAAAGCTAGTGAATGAGACAGGAAGGGAGAATGGTGCATGTTAGAAAGAAATGAAAGAGGTGTCATAGAGACAGAGATGAGTATGAAGTATCAGGGGAGCCTCACTCCCACACATCCTCTACATGTCACTGGTTTTAAATGTCACATCACATTTCCTGCTCAAAATCACAACATATTCAGGACCTCCTGCTCGTCTCTCTTCTCCCCTGGGAAATATGAAGGACAGCAATGCATTTTATTCCTTCTTTTGTTAAATCTATTTCAAGCAATGCAATTAAACAATGATTTCTTATACTAACCAATGCTGATAGACAAGTGTTTATTAAATAAACTGTTCTAACTCAAATTATAGATGAGAATGCAATTTGGGGTAGAACATCTTGATACCCCAATTGTAAGTATATGCTTTTACATTATATACTAAATTAAAAACTATAAAGTGAAATAATTTGTGTATACACACATTGTACTGCGGTCGGGTGGCTCATACAGGCAAAGTGCTCCCTGTTTCCAGGTTCAGGGTGCGCAGGGAGAGGAAACAAATAGATCTTAAGGCTCCATGCACCCTGGGCATTTTAATAATGCTGGTAGCGTTAGCTGTGTAAAGTCATGTTAAAATTAGTTTTTCAGCATTTGCATTTTTTAGCGTTTTTACCCAAAAAAATATTTTTGCTCAAAAAAATGCCCAAAACCCCGGGTTGCTGCATTTTACAGCGCTTTTCAGCGTTATAGTGTTTTTACAGCTAAAAAAAAAAACTACTCTAGAAACCCACTAGTTCTGTTTATTTTCCAGCCAAAAAATGCCCTGCCAAAAATGCTGATGAAAGCCTATGTGTGCATGGACAGGATAACATGCTGGGGAGTTTACTGGCTGTAGAAAAAAATGCCAAAAGCAGCAGCTGTAAAAATGTCCAATGTGCATGAGGACTTAGTAAAAAGCAGCACACATTACACATTAACACTTCTTAGGCACACACGTAACCCCTGGATTACCTAGAGATGTTAACTCCTTCCCAGCCAGTGTTATTAGTACAGTGACAATGTATAGTATTATCACTGATCATGTCTGTGTCAGTTAGTCAGCTTCCACCCAGTATCAGTGTCAGATTGCCGGACATTACTAGTATAAAAAAAAAAATTTAAATTTCTGGATATATATCCATAGTTTGTAGATGTTGTAACTTTGACACAAACCAATCAATATACATTCATTGGAATTTACCAAACACATGTAACAGAATACATTTTGGCCTAAGTGTATGAAGAAATTTGATTTTTTTTTATATATATATATATATATATTATATATATATATATATTATAGCAGAAAGTAAAAAATATTGTTTTGTTTTCAAAATTTTTGGTTTTATTTCATTTATATAATGAAAAACTCCAGTGGTGATCAAATGTTACCAAAAGAAAGCACTATTTGTATGAAAAAAAAGAATCTAATGATTTGGGTACAGCGTTGCATGACTGCACAATTATCACCTAATTTAGCGTAGTGCTAAATAGCAAAAAATGGCCTGGCCATGAAGGGGGTAAAACCTTTCAGAGCTATAGTGGATATATATATACACACTATATTGCCAAAAGTATTGGGACACCCCTGCAAATCATTGGATTCAGGTGTTCCAATCACCTCCATGGCCACAGGTGTATAAAATCAAGCACCTAGGCATGCAGACTGCTTCTACAAACATTTGTGAAAGAATGGGTCGCTCTCAGGAGCTCAGTGAATTCAAGCGTTGTACCGTGATAGGTTGCCACCTGTGCAATAAGTCTATCCGTGAAATTTCCTTGTTACTAAATATTCCAAAGTCATCTGTTAGTGGTATTATACCAAAGTGGAAGCAACTGGGAACAACAGCAACTCAGCCACGAAGTGGTAGGCCACGTAAAGAGACAGAGCAGTGTCAGCGCATGCTGAAGTGCGCATAAGTTGCCAACTGTCTGCAGAGTCAATAGCTAAAGACCTCCAAAATTCATGTGGCCTTGTTTTTCAAGGGTTGTGCTTGTTCCTTCCTTTTTTTTTTTTTTTTTTCTTTATTCACAATTTTTATTTTTCTACATACAGTGGTCAGAGCAATACAGTATTACCATAGTAATACTGTGCTACTTTGGGGAGGTGATCACTTTTTTTTTTACACACAAATTTTACAGTTATAAGCAACCATTTTTTTTCTTAATGAAAACTATTCCTTCAGTGTTTACTATTGGGATTAGCTGTGACTGGCCCTGTCTGTAGCATGTGATCACTGTGACCAATCACAGAGCGCATCACAATAGGACACAATGAAAGGCAAGAATCAAAGCCTTTCATTGTGTACAATTATCATGTGATTTGCTGTAATCAACCACTGCGATCATATGGTACTGGCAGCAGGCCAGTACAGTGATCTGTCATCAGCTGTGTCCACTGGACCCAGTGGGTGACAGATTGCTTCGGAGCATGGTTTGTGAGGCGAGCGCAAGGTCTCCCACCCAGCCTATTGTGATATGATCGACGGGTGGGAGCCCTAGTGTCCTGGTTAAAACCCCCATTGTATGTTGTACATATGCTCCTCTACTCCTTTTTGCCAGGGTCCTAATCTTGGAACCCACTTACTGTAGACTGCATAGACTTTGGAGCATATAAACAACACCCTTTGTGTGACAGGATGTGAATTATTTAATAGAACACTCTCTTTGACCACCATTAGTGACACATGATTCCTGTAAAGGATACTGAATTTAGGTATCTAGTGACAACAGGGATGACCATGTCGGTGAGCTACACTTAGGAAACTGGAACCAGAACAAGTACTGTATGATTAAATTAAGTTTATTAATGCAAACAACACCCATCTTACACCAACAAACCTATAAACACAGCAAAAGTGAAAAAAATCTACATGACAGCAAAGCAAATATCCAGACCAAGATCCTTACTATAATACACTATGTACAAATGGAGGGAAGCTTACAAAACAGGGAATGACCAGGACTGGAACTGAGAACAAGGGAAACAGAGATGAGTAGCAGGATGCAAGATACTGGATACAGGGTACAAAATACAAGGTACGGGATACAGAATCAAGCAGGGAAGCAGCTCACAGGCAGAACACTGAGGCACAGATAAAAGTCAAAGGGAATATATACCTTCCCAGCAGACACCCACTTGTGGCCTTCAGCTCTGAGAACCACCTTGTCACCAGCAAGGTGATCCAGGTCCTTTTTCCTATCATTATTAATACATGTAAGACAACCTCTACCCCTCCCACACACCCAAAAAAAGCCTTTCCTGTCAAAAAATAATATGCTTTTTCTTCTCAGAAGCATTTCCTATAGTTTTAGCACATTTAAATCTTAACTTTGGAATTTTCCTATACATAAACAAAACTTTTTGGGTAGGACAGGTCTCAAAGTTTTGTCACCCAACAATGTCGACCAGTGTTTTCCTATTGCTTATGTTGGCTTTTTTAAACATTGATAAAAATATAATCTACAACATTCTCTCTACTTTGTTTCATCCTGTCCTAATTAATTCTTCCATACTCATAGTACTGACTATATATTTCTCTACCCAATAATTCTTGTTTTTACACATTATTAATAGATCTATTTTACATATTAGATTGTTCAAAAATACTTTAACCCAAAACCTTATGAATTGATATATATATACCGTACATTTCTATTTGTCATTTGGATAAAGGTTTTTGTGTAGATCTTTATTTTCCTTACAGAAATATAGAGAACCAAAAAAATTTATATAATTTGTAATATATATTGCATCATGAGAAATATACCCTTGTTGTTTTTCATTGCTTCCTCAAAAAATGCTAGGAGCCAGTTTTTATCTCCACACCAAATATTAATAATATCAACCTTAAAGCACCTATAAAAATGTAATTGGGACCGCCTGTCCTTTAATAAAAATTCTGTTTTCCAACTATTCATATGGATATATGCAAGACTTGGGAAATTTCGCTCCCATCACTATCCCCATTTTCTACAAATAACATTAACCATCATATCAGTTGTGTGTCAAACAAAATTCGAGACCTTCCAAAATAGTTTTTTTTTTTGCTCTTGAGGAATCTGAAATTCTTTCCAAACTGGACCATTGTATCTATATAAAAATATACCATGTCTGGAATTCTTTTTTAACAGTGCCCCCTCAATGAAGTCCATATACAGTACATGGTCTCTCATTCTTGTAAACTCTTTTTTTAAAATAAGAAATAGGTTTATACTTATACTTACCATTGCACAGAGTGGCCCTAATCCTCCTCTTCTCTGGTCCCCTGACAACACTCCTGGCTCCTCCTCTTCTGTGAATGCCCCCATAGTAAGCCGCTTGTTATGGGGGGACTCATGCAGGTTTGATCCCGAGCCATGCTGCTTGATTCCATAAACACAAACCGTGTGACTTGGCCCTACCCCTTGCTCCATCCTCACTGAATTTTACTGACAGCATAAGGGGCCAATGGCTCCAGCTGCTGCCTGTCAGTTCCTGTGTGAAGAGGGAGAGAGAGAGAGAGAACTGCAGCCAGGCACAGCACTGGATCGAGTGAAGACAAGGAGGTGAGGGGGTCAATACTGCTACCTAAACATTTTTTTACCAAAATGCAGGGAATGCATTACGATAAAAAAAAGTTTAGGCTTTAGAACCACAATAAGGTAATATACACTATCTTATATAACTCTTCCTCACACTGGTTCATTGGAACTTTTATCTATAATGATTGCATTTTAAGTATGTAGTATGAATGTTTTAAAGGATAAGCTCACCTTTGGGAACATGTTACATGTTCCACCCATTTTTAGGGTGGAAAATGTAACCTGTTCCCAATGCTACAGCAGCTGCCCGCTACATCACGTATGGGCAAGCAGATATACTGACAGGTCTGTAGAAGACCTGCATGACACCAGCGATCTGCTGATCTTGAGCAATGCTTTACAGGCTCCTGCAGCACAAAAATAATAAATGTGCACATTTTGCAATAATTATCCTTTAGTATCAGTGTATTCAATAACTTCTTTAAAATATCAGTTAATTCAGTATCATGGTGTTACTGAATAAGTATGATTGTTTGCAATATAATCAATTTTACCTGTTTCTTTTTTTATCTTATCTTCCATTTTCACTCTCATGAAATGACAATATAAAAGTCACAAATTCGTCATGTATCAAATTGACATTACCTATATAAATATTTTTCATTGATTTTTCTAGTTATAGATTGTTATGATTCAAGTACCAGTGCAGTCCATTCAAGGATTTTTAAAGAATCATTTAAGCCCTGGTAGGCATGCTGAAAGTTCTGGCAGGTATTCTGAGAGAAGGAGCTCTAAAAGTCCTTTCAGAGATTCTGAGAGGAGGAGTTCTGGAGGTCCTGGCAGGGATTCTGAGAAGAGTTCTTGAAATGCTGTCAGGAATTCTGACAGGTGTTCTGGGATTCCTAGATGGAATTCTACAAATACTGTAACATGGATGGCCCCCCCGGGGCGGACTGACCATTTGGAAACTCGGGCACTGCCCGAGGGCCCGGGGTCAGTAGGGGGCCCCATGAGATGCCCCTGGTACTTTTTTCATAGGCTTTTTTGAGTTTGGGCAAGGACACAGGGGCCCCATGATCCCCTATTGCCTGGGGGCCCCATGAGTTGTCAGTCCGCCCCTGGGCCCCCCTTATTGTCAGCCTCCAAAAGACCCCCAGGGCTGGGCCTTTCTGGATGTGCATGATGAAACACCTTAATTAATCTGGTTGAACATTGTCTTCAGGCTCTTCCCAAGAAATTTTGTCAATGCCAAACTCTTCCCAGTTAATTAACCACTTCCACTGGACACTTTTACCCCCTTCCTGTCCAGGCCAATTTTCAGCTTTCAGCGCTATCACATTTTGAATGACAATTGTGCGGTCATACAACACTGTACCCATATGTATTTTTTAGCATTTTTTTTATTCACCACTGGGATTTTTTTTTTTTTTTGCTATGTAAATTAAAAAGTCCAAATTTTGAAAAAAAAGTGTTTTTCTTATAAAAATTTGCAAATAAATAGTATTTCATCATAAATCTTGGCCAAAATTTATTCCGTTATATTTTTAGAACGGAATAAATTATTTTTTTATAATAAAAAAATTAACCCAAATTAGTTTATGACCAAAATTATTTTTAAACTTTTTTTTTATATTATTTTTTATTTATTTATTTTTTACATACTGTCACCCTAGCAGTACAGTGTCACAATGGTGACACTGTACTACTTGTGGGAGGTGATGAAGATTTTTTTTTTTTTTTTTTTTTTTTACACTGATTGCTTTTACACCCATAAAGGCTGTAAACGCAATCATTTCTCCTTCTCTCTGTCTGCATTCCTGCAGCCATTGAGACATACTGAGTGAGCTGTGATTGGTCACAGCTTGTCACATGGTACAAGGCTTTTGTGAATAGCCTTGTACCATGTGACCTCTGTGATCATTCACAGATTTCACACATAGTGACATCTTGTTTACTACTTTGCATGTGATCGGGACCTCGCACAGAGGTCCCATCTGACGATCGGTGTTCCACTATGTCCGGCTTATAAACGGCCACCCGACCCTGCACTGCCGCTGTCCGGCCGTTTATATACAACGGCCGGATGGGAGGTGGTTAAAGTGGAGTTCCACCTAAAAAAAAATAATAATAAAAGGCAGCAGCTACAAAAACTGTAGCTGCTGACTTTCAAAATACAGACACCAGTGTCCCTGTCCCTCGGTCCAGCTGTGTCTTATCCACCACTGGTTTTTCACCAGCCGTTTTCTCTCTCTGGTGCTGGCATCTTCAGTGTGGGCCCCCGACTTTGACAGCTTACGGCTTCACAGCCGGTGCCCACTGTGCATGCGTGAGACACTCTGTGCTTTGTGAATGGCCCTGTAGTCTTCTGAGACCTGTCACGTGTCCCAGAAAACTACGGGGAGGGAGGGGGGAGGACAATTTCTGCTTCCGATCGCCTAGATGAGGTAAGTGG